TTAAGATTGTTAGAGACAACTTGAATCATAAAACACAATTCCAAAAATTTTTTCAAATGAATATACATGAACAAGTATATTTCTCAATGAAAAGATCCCCCTTGGTGCTATTTATAAATATAAAATGTTGGTGAAAATCTAAATATCAAATCATGAAGGATTATTTAATTAGATCAGGGAATAGGCATACAAAAATATTATTTTTCCTTTTAAAATAGTATAAAAGTTTTAATAGTATAGAAATATGGAAACAGTAAGATTTGGGCACTGAAAACTGATGTGTTTGATCCTAATATATATAAAGACAAACTGAAAGTACCTATGCACCAATATCTTAGGAGTAGTTTTGTTGTCTGGAAAGATGATTCTAAAACTTTAAAACACCACTTGCACAATAAATTAAAATAAACCATTACTAAAATAATTAAATGTAGGAACATGTTATTACTTTTGTAGTTTAGGGAAAAAATATCAATAAAAATGTTAACACCACAAGAACAACTCCCTATGAGAACCTGGTCTTTAGTGGTGCAAATACATGGAAATGGTCCCCACTAAAGACAATATTGAAATTACTCATATGTTTGTGGCAAATGTTCACCAGTGATTGACAGCATACTGCCATATGCTTGTCACTGTGAAAAGCTGAGTGAGTATTTGGCCCTCAGGGAATGATTCCAACAGTCCTTGAAGTCCTACAGTCTGCTTACTTGTTTTCACAAACTGCTCTCACTTCTCTGAATTCCCTCACTACCTCCTCTGAGGGTTATTAAAAATATCCAGGGACAACCAACCGTTATTTGGCTTTCAGCTTTTGACAAGTGGGTAAAAGCAATGTCATGAAGAAACTCCTTTTTAGAATTGTCCCAACTTATTACTGAATAGTTTAATAAGCTCAATGGGGTTCTCTCTGAGAAGTGGGGTGCTTGTTTCACTCAGGTCTCTTGGCTTTTGTTGATCTTTATTATGCAAATTAAGAAAATCTGGAAATTCTAAGGGTGATAAAGAGAGAAAGAGCTCCAGAAAGTCTAGAACAAAGGAAGTCTGAGCATCTCTCCTCCTTTGTAAATGCTAGTACCAGACCTGAAGTCCCCTTTCTCCTTTCTCTGAGCTCCATTTTGTACAAGCACATCCTGTCTCTACCTGTCTGAGTCATTCTTTATCACCCTCGTACAAGATGTTCTTTCAAACTTGCTTCTTCATTCAAAACATCTGGGCTACTTATCTAGCAAGATAATTGTTTATCTGTCTTACTGGCTCATGCTCACTTTTTTCTTTTTTCCATTTTATTCAGCTTCCCTTAGGAAAAAAAAGCCACCTGTCCAATCAGAGAGGTAATGGCCATGGTCCTTATTTAGGCAGGTCTGGAAATGGGGAAGTGAATAGTCCCAGAGCAGACTCGTTGAGTGAGAATGGGAGTGGGGGCATCCAGGGCCTTTGACTGCATTTCAGAAAACCACAGGCTTGGCCTGTTTAGTAGCTGGAATGTCCTTCCTTTCTTTCTTCCTCCCTCCCTGCCTATCTTCTTTTCTTCCTTCCTTTCTCCTTCCTTTGATGCAACAACCATGAGCAGGCCGTGAGAATAGCATATTGTGCTAAAATAACCTTCTAGTTCTTACAATCTAGTGAAGAGAACATCTAGTAAAACAATTAAGCATAAATGACCCAAGTAGTAAGAGCAAGCTCCACAGGTGCCACAAAAGGCAGTAGTGTGCAGATTTGACCCAAAGAAGTGAGGGGGTCTACTTTGGGCTGGCTCAGCTGTGTAGTAGAGAGCCCTTTGGGTTCTATGTATAACTGGGTCTGGCAGACACTGCTGGTTGCTTCTCCAAACACAACTTTTCCCATTGTTTTTGTTTGGAGTCCAGTTTTGTCAAACATCAAGTGTCCGGCCCCAGAGCATGAAGAAATGTCAGACTAAGCTAATAATCATGGTACCCTCATTCACCTTTTCTGTGATTAGTGTGTGTCCATCCCACTTAGTCCTAGCCACTCAGATGTGGCAGGAGTTTCCTGGGGCTGCTGGTAAAGATTTCCCTCCTAGTGAAAAGAGAGGAGAAAGAGCTTAGCTCCTTTGAGAGATTATGAACTGCTAAATCAAACTGGAACTGGTTTTCTCAGGATTTCTTTTAGGTGAGCATTACATATCCAGTATTGAGTCTACTTTTAGCCATGAAATGCTATCAATTAATAGTTCAAAGCATCCTAACTGAAGCTTGGGGATATAGGAGGATGGTGGTGGAGGGAATTGTAGTTTTGCTCTTTCAGCCCTGGGAGGAAGTAAAGCTCCCATCAGCAAACCACTCTAGTAGGGTTCCCTTTCACTGGGTAGGTGGGATTCACAAAAATTTAACAGGGATAGTTCAGTGGGTGAAATTTCAAATCTATTGGCTTAGAGGTAGGGAAAGGTGGATGTTGTCAGAGAAGTATCATGATGTTGCTATAAAGGGAAGGAAAAGAGTTTGTGTTTCAGGTTATTGCTTTATTGGGTACAATTAAAGTGATAATTTAATCTTTGTTTGTTTGACTATCCTTTGATCCCCCCCCATTTGGAGAGTGGCTGATTTAGTGTAATCTCCAATAATTATTCTGCAGATCTTTTTATTTGTGTGCATGCTATGTCAAAGGAAAATATAGAATCTGATCTCCTATATAACCAAGTATGTTAAATGACTCCCCTACATTGCAAGCCATTCTTTCATATCTGAGAGTAAGCCATTAAATATTTTTGCCACAGACTATGGAAAGTCCTCTGAATGAGCAATGTTAATCTACTGTCCTGGATACTTTTCTGGAAAACAAAATCCACTGGTAGGTTCAAGTTTCTCTTACTGCAATTGAGCCTTCTGGAAGCCAGGGAAGTATTGTCATCCTTCTATCTTTTACATCAGGAAATAGGTAGTTTCTAGAGCTAGTTTTTACATTACAGCCACATCAACTTTGGCATGTCTTCCTCTTTCTTAGCACAAGTTACATTTTACATCAAGTGGTGAGAGTCATGTCTGCTTTTCTTCCCCTAGCCAACTGTTGTGAGGATGAAATGAATGATTGTTTTAAAAGTCTTCTATATGTCTGCAAAATGCTATGCAAGTACAAGCCTCTGTCACCATAATGAATGACAGTGTCATCATGAAAGGAGACAGTTGCCCTAAAATCTTTCCATGCTCTTTAGACTGTGTGGAGGTCAAGTTCCAGAAGAAGATGCTCCTTTTCTCTTAAATGTTTTCTGATTTGGAAACTCACAGTTCTGAGTAATCTCTTGAATACTGTTCAGCTGCCTGGTGCCACCAGAGTGCTACTTCTGTGTGTCAGTGATGTGCTGAGTCCTTCTTCTCTCAGAACGCAGAAGCTTTGCTTCACAAAGATCCCACAGAATCCAGGTGTCAGACAATGGAGAAAATGGCCTCAAAGTCGTTTCATTTTATTTTCAAGAGCTTCATTTTAGGGCTGGGTTCTTGGAAAAGCAGTTTGTCTGTGGTCCTCTTTCAACTTCCCTATGGTATTCTGTTCTCTTCCTTCTCTTCTCTACTCCTGTGATGCAGGGCTGCCTCTATTTTCTAGAGCTCCCCATTGGTAGGACCAACTCAGCTTAGAGGAGTGCTATCCAACTTTTCTTTTGTGTTATTGGAGATGAAACCCAGGAGTTTTCTACCACTGAGTTACATCCCTAACCCCTTTTATTTTGGGATAGGTCTCCCTAAATTCCCCAGACTGGCCATGAACTTGAGATCCTCTTGCCTAAGCCTCCCAAAACTGGGATTATGGGTGTGACCACCACTTCCAGTTTAACAAAACTTTCCGTGAGGATGGAAATGTTCTAGATCTGCTTTGTCTTATATGGAAGCTATTAGCCATTTGTAACTGTTGAAATGTACCTAGTGTGACTAAAGAACTAAAGCTTTAATATTATTTGATTTCAACTGACTTATAGTTAAATTACTACATGTGGCTAGTGGTTTGCCATATTAGTGCAGATTTAGAGCTTAATCCAAATCACTTTGGTGTCTCCATTATAACCCAAATTCACCTGACCTGAGTTCCACTCCAGACCCTTTCAAGAGAAGTACCAGTAAGTCTATCTCATAAACAAATTGGTATTCATAAATTAAGCTTTTATTCTCTTATAGGGTGTGTAGGTTTTGGGCATTGCCATTCATTAGTCAAAGAAGGGGCTCAGATGTTAGGAATTCAGGGGCTTTGGCAGGTAAGTGTCAGGGTGAAAAGACTATGTGCATAGAACTTTAGCTATACTTTACAGAACACTCAATGGATGGGCATATACTCCCCAGGACTCTGTTGTGCCTCTTATAGTCGCAGAGAATCGATGCAGTAGTTACCAACTAAACTAGGTTGTGTTGATTGTCTCTGGACTGGCCCTAGAAGTGTCAGGCTAAGTAAGACTAGCCATTACATCACCTAACCTCAGATTTCAAAGCTGAACAAAAACTCGTTCATGTCCTGGGCCAATGGATGTCAGAATGAAACTCAATGCCTCCCATCTATTGACTGCACTGAGGTGTTAGGACCTTGAATCCCTCAACTTCATCTCTCTTTGGTCAATGGGAAAGAGAGAGAATATGTGAAAGATTAAAACTATACTAGAAGTCTATCATTCCTTCCCACTTTCAGAATCACAACCACTTCACCTATCAAATTATAACAGAGACAATGAACTGAAATTACATGGACAGAGAAAAAAGGAGAACAAATTCTCTACCCTACATGTTTTAACTATTGCTGTCATGGGACTTCCAGTATCCTGACTGAAGTGATAGTGAAAAGCAGGAATTAGAGAGGAAAAGTGCTTCTGAAACATTCTTGAGAACCTTTTCTTAGAATTGTCAACTTTCCAAGATGTACATAGAACCCATCCTCAGTGTTCCAAAGATTCTCGCATTAGGCAGGTGGTCATAGTACTTCATGCCAGACACTGCTTAATTAATTAGTTTCCCCTCACAACAAGCCCGATGTAAAGATACTAATATCATTCCCTCTTATAGATGAGAACATTGAGATGAGAGGCTCATGAATGATCCAAGGTAACACAGCTAGTGAGTGGTACATGGAGTGAGAGGAACTTGACCTGTTTCCCCACACTGCCAACAAGATTCGTGAGTATGTCCTATATGTCCTGTCTGACTGAGAGGAAGAAAATAGTTGGACATGAGAATCTAATCAACTCACAGGCTTACTGTTTCCATGCAAATTCTAAATGTGTTTCCTGTGGAAAAGCAGCTACTCTCCTTCCTCCACTGGCATTTTCTTTCTCCATTCTTTTCAGTTCCAGCTGGGGCTCTTACACTTCAGCTTGAGTGAGAATCACCTAGTTACTCATAAAAAATGCCCCTACTTGAGTTCCACCCTTCAAAGATTTTGAGTCATTAAATCTGAGGTGAGCAAGTAGCAGTCAGAACATACTAGAAACAATAACCCAGGAATACTGATTGCTAATGGAGGGCCACTCGACATTACAGCCACCATTGGGTAGCAGAATGTGCCCAGTTATCCCAATATTAGAAGGGCTGACTCTGAGTATTCAGAATCAATCTCTGGCCCCAAGATCCTCCCACTTATGACCCCAAAGTCTTCTTATGACCCCATTCCCCATGGCCAGGTGGGTTTTTGTACTCCTGGGGCTCTTTGAAGGTAAGGGCCATTTATCCTTTGTAGCCAGTTGAAGTGGAAAACATATGGTCAACATAGACCCCAGAACTCAACTGCTGATTTCCTCTCTCTCCATATAGTATGATGCTAGACAACTCCCAGATCCTCTCTGGGCCTCAGCATTCTCACCTGTATGATGAGAGTAATAATACCTACATCTGGACTTAGACTGTGTTCAGGGTAAAGCAAGCTGACAAGATAGTGCCTGGCATTAAGTGTGAACTTTATAAAGCCTGGCTGATTTTATTACCACAGTTCTAACAACACTGGAGGCTTTTATAGTAAGTTGCTAGTTTCAGCCATTTACTCCTTTGAGATTCATTTTCCTTGAGTGTGAAATGGGAGCAATAATGTATTTATAACAATAGCTGTCTTGCCCTCTGCCCAGAATTATTATAAAAATAAAATGTGATAATGATGTGTCATTGCTTTATAAGCTGCAGATCACCATGAAAAAATAAAAGTGTTATAATTTTACCTTTATCTTTGATTTTGCTAATTTGAAGCATGACTCAGGGTCCCAAGTCTGGATCTATACTGCTGCTGTAGGGAATGGTGGCTGAGAAGGTTGCCTTTCTGAGCCTCAGTTTCTCCTCCTATCAGTAGGGCCTCCTATTTGAAGTATTGTGTGAACCATGATGTTGATCAGTGGATCTCAAACCTGGCTACATGTTAGGACCATCTAGAGAGCCTTTGTAATGACCATGTCCCAGTCAGCCCAACTCTGACCCACTTGGAGTAGTCCACTGATATCCCTAGGGGACCCCTGCGGATACAAAACCTCTCTTCTATAAAATGCCACAGTATTTACCTATAACCTACACTGTCTTCCTCTGTACTTCATTTCTAGACTACTTGTAACACCTAATACAAAGTAAATGCTAGATAAGTAGCTCATGCTATATACTGTCTAGAAAATAATGACCAAAATATGTGTGTACATATTCAGTACAGGTGCAACTTTTTTTCCAAATATATTCAGTCTGGGGTTGATAGTCAGGCCACAGATGCAGAACCTGTGGATAGGAAAGGCCAAGAAAATGAGAATTGCTATGGACATGGAGTAGGAATGGACCCTTAAAATGTCCTTGCTTGTAATATGAATGGGGATTGGAAACCACTGGTGTGTGTGGAGCAGCTCTGTAAACTGGAAAACACAATGTACATGTACAGGTGCTTCATAATTGTTATTTACTGATTGATGAACTCATGAGGGATGAGTTCCTCTGAAAATTCAGGCAGCCATCTGTCCAAAGTGTGCACTTTAGACCTAGCTCCTATTCTTGCCTTTAAGCCAAAAAGGCTAAGCAAAAAGAAATCTCACTGTTGCTAAGATGATGTGGAGAGTGAGAAGAGTTCATTTAATAGAGTTTAGGAGTGACCTCCGGCTGACATAAGCACTCAGCATTTGTTTAATTAAACTGACTCCAGTTTGGGAGGACATACACTACAGGCAAATACACTACAGTGCAGTAATTTACACAAATTAAATTCAAAGCCAAATCTTTCTATGTAAGTCCCCTGTGTGGCACAAACCCTGAGCCACTCCTGTTTGGATGATTCTCTCTGCTAATCATCTACTTTTGCAAAAAGCAGCCATCATATTGCACTGTGTGCACCTCCTCTTCTGGGCATCCTCACTGAACACAAATTTCCCCCTGACGGATCTTTGAGCTTTATGGGTGATGAGAGGTAGGTTCTCTAAAACCAGAGGTAGGCATTTTAAAGCAGTCTCCATACTATCTAGTGACTTTCACACAGCCATAATGTCATTATGAAACTGTCAGATTTGAATATGATGAATATTTTATATAGAAATAATTCCCTTGTGGAAAATTCCACATGTTTTCCACCAAATGGTATTTCAAAACAAGGAATAGGAGGGAAATCTGCCCAAGAAGCAGCAAAATGTAAACTTCATAATTGCAGAGATGAAACACAATAATGGGCAATCACATAAGCAAAGATCAGCCTGTGAACACCCACAAATGCATGTGTAAATAAGTCACCAGAGCCAAAAGCAAGGAAGCCCTAACAGCTGAGGGCATACATGTGCACAAAGCTAATTACCAGCTGGGCAGGAAGAGCTAGAAGCTTCATCTGTCCTTCTTCAGGCTAGGGCTACTTGATACTAAGTCACCAACTTTCCAATTCTGCCCAGAAGAGCAGCTGCCATATTCTCCTTAAAATCAGTTCAGATTCTCTTGTCAAAAATTACAGAGTACACTGGCTCTAAGTGTTACTTTTTATCACAGTGTAGGCCCTCTTCTGCTGCACACAGATGTCCTGTTCCACTGTGTGTTAGTTACAGTTACACTTGTTAAAGTTGTCTGGAGGAACAGAATCAAAAGGGAAAAAATGATGTATAATTATGGAAGGGAACTTACTATGTAGAGAGTCTTAGAAGGTAGAGAGTCCATAATGGTTGCCCGCATGTTGTAAAGTTGGAAGGTGTAGTAGCTGCTACAGAGCAAGAAGGATCAAGGACACAACACCAATCTAAGACCAAAGACCTGGTGTCTCTGTGGACTCACTATATAAGTCTGCATTCAAAGACTGAAAAAGCCAGAGTCTGGTAGCCACAGGTGATGGAAGAAAAAGACATACCTATCAAGAAGACTAGAGCCTTTTTAAAAAAGTGCACCCACCTCCTTCATCTTTACCTTTTATTCCATCCAGGCTACACTGCAATTGGTTGGTGCCAAACTGAGAGTGGGTCTTCCCCCTCAATTTGTTGGCCTACATATCAAGCATCCCTTGAAACACTCTCAGACATACCCACTTTACTAATCTGCTAGATGGTTCCTAATCCAGTCAATGAGATACTTCACAATTGACTGTCATATATATCTTAATGTCTTATGCAGTTTTTTCACCTTTGAGGCTTCACTGATTCTCTTATTCATTCCCCAGTCACTGACCATTAACTTTAGAGCTTGTATACAACCATCTTCACCTTTAGCCTAGTATGGGATAGCTAGCTGCTCCCTCCTGCTTCTCTCCCCACCCTGAGCACATTATGTCCTATGTTTTCCAAGTCAAAAGTTGAAATTCTCTATTGGGAAAAAAATCAGACTCCTAGAAATGAAAGGACACATATGGGGTTCTCACCTGTCATTGCAGTCTCAGGCCATATGAGACCCAGGTGGAGCATAGCAGATAAGGCAATCCCACGAGCAGAGAACCCCAAATGGAGCACCTAAGGAATGACCTGACCCTTAAAACAGTGGTGAATGTACACAAAATTCATTTGCAAGAATTGAGACTTTCTGCATTTTTAGGATAAGAAAGGCACTAAAAGTTTAATTTAGGTAATTAATCAGGAGGCATGACCAGTAGCGTGCTAATCTTTCATAGTGGGTAGCTGAAGTTGGTATAGATTATTAGGAGTGCAGGGTTTCCTGATCATTTCCCTATCATTTGTCTTCATCAACCTTAGAATATCCCAAAATTTGCCAAAACCTAGAAGCAACTCAAATATCCACCAACAGTAGAATGAATATATAAATCATGGTATTCATTCATGGACATATGAATGAAGATGAATGAGATGAAGTGAAAATGAATTATGTGAAAACTGAATGACAAGACAAACACACACACAGTCCAAAAAGTTGCAATTCTATTTACTATCCATAGAGTTCAAAAGTAGGCAAAATTAATCTGTAGTGTTAGAAGTCATGAGAACAGCACTTATTGGGAAGGTTAGCAGAGATCAGGAGAAGGCAAGAGTTGAGTTTCTGGGGGTCTACTAGTGCTATTTCTCAACATGGAAATAGTCCCGATACAATGGGAATATTCAACTGGTGACATGTTATTGAAGAATAGTTATGATTTATGCATACCATATGTGTGACAGTCTTTAAGGAAAGACTTGCATTGTGTCTACTTGTCCATCAAGGGTTTGGGGTTTTTTAATTAATTAATTTTATTGGTATATTTAAGGTATGCAATGTAATGACATTCATCATTGAAAATTTGCTCCTTTACATAATCCATCTTGGTTCTTAATTTTTCCCCATTCCCCTGCCTTCCCTTCAACCCCTCCAACCCTCCCTATCTGCAAAGACTTTCTTTCCATTTTTTCTTTTTCTCATGCTAATTCCATTCCCCTCTTTCTTTTCTTCTAGCCCTCACTTCCCTTCTCCTTTGCACCTTTTTTTCCTATTTCACATGATCTATTATACCTTTTAGTCCTTATTCACACTTTCAATTTCTCACACTAGAGAAACTATTCAGTATTTACACATATGCATCCTGCTTATTTCGCTTAGGAGTATCGACTTAATGTGCATCCATTTAGCTATAAATGTCTCTAGTTTCTCATTCTTTATGGATGAGTAGTATTCCACTTTGTAAAAAGAAAAACCATGTTTTCTTTATCCGGTATCCTGTTGATGAGCAATTGGGCTGCTTCCAAGTTTTAGCTATCATGAATTGTGCTGCTATGAACATGGGTGCACATATATCACTGTGGTATGATTCTTTTAATTCTTTGGGAAGATACTCAGTAAGAGAATAGCTAGGTCAAATGGGACATCCAATCCTAGCACTTTGAGATATCTCCATACTGATTACCACAGTGGTTGCACCAGTCTACACTCCCACCAGCAGTGGAGCAGTGTTCCTCTCTCCCTACGGCTCAGCCAGCATTTGTTATTGGTTGATTTCACAATAACAGCCATTCTTTCTGGGGTGAGGTGGAATTTCAGCATTGTTTTCATTTGCATCTCTCTAATGACCAGTGACATTGAACATTTTTTCATATGTTTATTTGCTTTTTCTATTTCTTTGTCTGAGAAATGCCTGTTCATTTCAGATGCCCATTTTTGGATTGGGTCTTTAAATTTGGGAGGTCTGATTTTTTTAAGTTCTTCATATATTCGAGACAGTAGAACTTTGTCTGAGTAAGAGCTGGTGAAAGTTGTTTTTCCCACAGTGTGGGTTGTCTCTTCACACTGTTGGTCATTTCTCTTGCTGTGCAGAAGCTATTTAGTAAGAAGAGATCCCACTTGTTGTTTGTGCTAGTTCACAGGCAACTGAGGTTTTGTTCATAAAATCTTTTCTTACACCAATGTCTTCAAGAGTTTTACCTAACCTCTCTTCCAGCTAGTTTAGTGTTTCTGTTTTAATATTTAGATGTTTAATCCATTTTGATTTTATTTTAGTGCATGGTGAGAGATAAAGGTCTATACTACAAAGCCACTGTGATTAAAAAAAAAAAAAAAAAAAAAAAAAAAAAAAAACGTACAAACAAAGAAAAAATAAAAAAC